GCAGGCAGCACTTAGCCTGCCAGACTGGGCAAGTCTCCCCCACTCCCAGGCTGGACGCACACGCCTGCCACCATTCTTAGAACCCAGTGGGAGGAACAACAGGGACAAAAGGGGGCCACGTACAACCCTGAATGGGGACTATGCTTGTTGTTCTTACTTCACCTTTCCCGCCAGCTCTGTACTCAGGCACCAGCTCTGAATACAAATGATGGGTTTAATCCATAAGACCAGTTTGTTTCAGTGTGTACTGGGCGCTGAGCTGGGCGCCCACAGTCCACATGTCCTGGCACAGTTCACCATGACCCTGGATGGTGGGTGGGGGTCATTCCTGTCCAATCCAGGAAACTGAGGCTCCCAGGGGCCCTGTGCCGGCCATGCCGCTCCGTAGGTGGTAGAATCAGGAACTGGGTTCAGGTGTTTTTAACTGCAGGTTCCATCCAAATCTTGGTTCCACTGTTTAAAAAATACAAAAGGCTTGGTCCCAATCCACACGAGTCCTTTAAGTAAATTTCCCCGTTTGGTTTCCTACCCTCTTCCAAAATAATCTTTGTTGAGGTTTGGAAAAATATGCCATAATAAAAAACTAATATTGGTGTCTAGTCTGGAGTTCAGCCAATCAGTGCACGTGTTCTGTTGGGTTCAGCTGGGGTCCCTCCCGTCGGAGTTCCGAACACGGCAGGAAGGTGTGGCCACCTCAGCGGCTTCCGTTTCCTCCTGCATGGCCAGGCCTCAGGCCTGCTGGCGACACTCGAGCACAAAGGAAGAGGTGCTCGTGGCAATGAACAGGCAAATGAGAAAGGGAGGGCGGATAACCCGCAACATAACAACTAAGTGGTTAGTCGGCAAACGTGTACATTCTTTTAGTTTTCTCAACCAAGAATCCTTGGTCCTCCCTTCCTGGGACGTGGGCAGCCCTGTCGGGGCCCCAGGGCGACCCTTCTTTTCTAACCGCCCCCCTTAAAGTTGAGGAACCTGAGGCTCAAAGGGAAGAGAATTCCCGCATCTGCTAGGACTGCCGGTCCCAAAGAAAGACGAAGCCACATGCCCTTGACCACAAGAAACCCGGCAAAGGTCTGACTCTCCAAGACATCACAAGTGTGGAGGCCAGCGGGCAGGCGCCCTGAGCATTGGGCACGGTACAGGAAAGGCCGTCTCTGTGGTCGCCAGGACGCCCTAGTGAAGGGCCCCGCCTCGTCACCGACACCTTTGATGCTTTCTCATAAACACTCACTCCGGACAAATGGGCCACTGAAGAGCGTGTCCAAGGCCTTGTTCTAGGGGAAGACAAGAGAACCTTCCAGGTCTGACACAGGTGGATTGTCCTGCTCGAGCCCTCAAAGTCCTGGGGCAGAGGGCCATCCTTGCCCTGGGCCCAGCAGACAAATGTCCTGTCAGATCTGTCACTGTGGATAACATTGCGTCAGGGACCCAGGACAGACGTGCCAGGGATTTTAGAGGAAAGCTGAGTACATTCCACCTTCACCTCTAACAGCACTTCATGCTGCTGCCATAACCGGTGTTTCTAGAGATTTCTGGCAGTCAGAACTCACTCAAGGCACCTCTTAAATTTAGGCTGTCACCTTAAAGCCACTACTGCATGTGTGGCCCGAGGCACATGGCCTGACCTGGAAGTTGGGCACTTAGTCAGCTGTCAGGTCAACTAAGTCCCTTTCTTCCCTCCTAAGGGCCACTCAACCACCACGACCAAGATACAAACACAACCTGACCCCTCTTCTGTCCAGAAAACTGACAAAATCAAGAGGGAGGGCAAATACAGTCTTCTTGCTTTTTTACCTCTAACCTTAACTGTCACATCCCAAAGACTAGAACGGTCTTTCATGCCATTAACACCCCTCGAATTCCCTCGAAACGTGACCTGCATGTGTCTTGGTTTGGAATGCACAGTTTGAGGTATCGGAGGTTTACATTCTGTAAAAAAAAAAAAGGGAAGCCAGGCGAATCCTGGGGCTATGAGCACCGTCTCTCATCACTTTGCTGAACAAGTTCACAAGACTGAAATAGAAAAGGCACACGTCATCACCCGTGAAGGCGGTGCTCACAGCCAACTTCTCTCGTGTTCCCACCTATCTCGACGACTCCTGACAGGTATGAAGGGCCCGGGACAGACAGTGGGGCTCAAGGTAAGACGACAATTAAGGACCCATCACATTTTAAAACATGTGCTACATGGGCACAGACATACTTATAACTTTTCCAAAAAAAAAAGAAAAAGAAAATTAGTAATAAGATAAAAAACCAAACACAGTTATTCACCAGGAAGATTAAAGACCAGATAATTTAATTATACAAATGAGACCACTGTCCTTCGCTCCCATATTCCTAGGCAGTCTCTTTCAAGTTTACTTGCTGTCAGAAGGCAAGGGTTTTAATATCAAAAAGAACCTCTCTCTGTCAGTGCCCACATGGAAAACAAATCCACCATGGAAAAAATCCCCAAATAGTCCAATTTGGAAAGAATTTAATTAACAAAATAAAGCGGAGAACCAGGCCCAGGTGTGCAGGGCTCTGGGAGAGGACCCCTCCCCGAGGCCGCTGCCAGCCCCAGCCCTGGGGGCCCCGGACCTGTCTGAGCAGAACCAGCCTCCACAAGCAGACCAGCTCTGCATGACGTGCGCCCATTATATACAGATTGTAAAAACCACGCGACCGCAGTGTGTTAGGAAGTGGCTGCTAGCTGTCCTATGCTGGCTTGGCACATTAACGCATGCAAAGCAAGGAGGTTTCAAGGGCTTCACCAAACAGTTAATTTTGGCAAAAAGAGAAAACAAACAAAAAGCTAAAATTCATAAGCAGGATTAAAAGCCACTGAAGTGAAAACCATGTATTTCTCAACAGTAAGGAATGAGACTACAGCTACAATCTTTTTTTTTTTCTTTCTTTTTAAGTCTCTGCCATCCTCTCCCCAACTCAGGTCAAAGTTCATAGCAGCATAACACAAAGTCCTCTGTCAAGCCAGTGTTCTCTGCTTTGGGGTCAGAGTTCACAGGTCAAGTTCAGTCCGTCCGAAGAATCATGGGAGGGTGCTCGCTGTCCTCCTCCAGTCGCAGGGCGCTGGCTTCATCTTCCAGACAAGTGCCGCCCACTGCACCCAGCTCATCTGTGTAGGCTGCAAAGAGACAGCGGGGTCACCTCAGGGCCTGGGCAGTGGAGCAGGCAGTCCGACGCCAGGCCAGAGGCTGGATTTGGGGCACATGAGGGTGTTTATAAACAGCAGCCCACACGAAGGCTCTGAATTTTATTCTCTCTTCTGACTAACAAGCTTTCTGCAGCCTTAGGCAGCTCAGGATGAGGTCATTTATTTTCCAAAATTCATAAATGTCAAAACGATGCCTGCATGTATATCAGAGGGGCTCCCGATGGACAGGCTGTAAATTTTCCTTTGTGAGCAGGGAGAATGGAGGTACTTTTTGAGCTGGTTATGTGAACGGCTCAAAAACGACGACATGAGCTGCTCGGGGCCTCATCTACCTGAAGGAGTAACGGTGAGCGAGGACAATGTCTCCTGTGAGCAAAACTATAGGAGCGCCCACTTGCGGTCAAGCCGCTTTTTGGGGATGGAGGTGCTCAGGAGGAGATGACCAGCCAGCTTCGGTAGCTGCCCTGCTGAATGCCGCAGCACCCCCCCACCTCTCCCGGGCCCTGGTCAAGGGGTGGCCCCTGCATGCTTGCTGGATAATCAGACAGGCGAGAGGGTAAAGACCCGGGACAAACACCTGGCAGGCGCGGTCAGGGTCATACTTTAGCCAAGAGGCAGCAAGGCAGAGCGTAACTCAAAGCACCCAAAGGGGCCTTAGCCACGAGGACTATTTTTCTTCAACAGGAAGGAAGTGAATTCGGCCTTGAGAGGCCTGGCACAGCCCAGCTTACAGCAGCTTGCCTCTGTCTGGGCACTCCCACTCCCCTGCCCATTGGAAAGTGGAGGTGGGCAATTCTAAGGGGGAAAAGCACAAAGCATGAGAACCACAGCGGGAGGTCCCGGCATAATTTACCTTCCAGGTTTGTGTCACAGCCCTTACCAAGTCTTGTCGGGGATGCAGGCACGTGAGTACCTTTGGCTACAGCTGTGCTGTAGGTCTGAGTCGCTAAGGGGCAGTCGTGAGAGGCGGAGTCTAAGATTTCATTGGTTGTCTCCATGCTGCCATCCAGCCTGGGAGAAGTGGAGAAAAACCACAGCTGTGAGGACACTCAGGGTGCAAGGACTCGAGGGCTGGACCTGCAGCAACAAAGAGGCCACTCGCCAGGACACTCACATGCGACTGTAACACTACGGCGACTTTAAAATAACTCCTGTGTATCTGTTCACTCGGACTTTTACATGGAAAGTCTAATGGAAAAAAGTTACACCTAGTGAGACAATCTCATTTCCTTTTCACGTGTGATGATCCTAAATAGAGTTCGTTATAAAAATATAAACCTCCACTTCCACCCCGATTCTAAGAGTATTGTAGTATTGCTGTTATAACTTTTGAATAAAAAAAGCAAAAACCGAACATTAAACTGCACTACTTCCCAATTAACAAATAATTCCTTCTTTTCAGAGAGACAACCTGTACCTCACAGTGAGATTGCAGGCTCTCAAAACGCGCGCACTCGCTGGATGGCACTGTGTGTGTGTTGGCCTTTCTTGTAAACATTAGGCTCCATCCTGAGACGGTCCCTAGGGGGAGGGCCTGGGCCCCCCCAGGAAGGGCAGGTGCAGACCCAGCCTCCTGCTCCCATCTCGCCCCGTTACTGACTGGGACCTTGGCAGAGCGGGAGGGAAAGTGCGAGTTTGCGCCCACATCAGGGAAAGCTCTTCAATAGCATGGGCCACGCTGGATGTGTCCCTTTGTGTCACTGGCTTTAAGGAAATGAAGACATTTCATGTACAACAGGGCCTTGGCCGCAGACTGGCCGCCCGTGGAAGGCCCTCGGAGGTGGTGGCGGGTGGGGGTGACTTACTTGTGCTGTTTCATCAGGGTGCACTCGCCCCCCTCCTGGGGGTCCAGGTTGTACATGTACAAATACCCGTCGGAAGCGCCCACCAGCAATCGGGGGATCTTCTGAATTCTAGTGAGAACAAAAAGCAGCCACGTCTAGGACCACACTTTCACACAAAGCTCTTACTAAGCACGGCCAGAGAGACCCCTCCACATGAGCACACTGTTTCCCGTGTTAGACAGAGTATGTCTGTACAGGGGAATAAAGATCCCGCCAAGGCTGCACGCAGTGTGAATAAACACTGACGCCGTGGGAGATGGGGTGGGAGCAGGACCAGTTCATGGTTTCTCCGACGGCAACGGTAGGTATTTTCACAAAACCTTCTCAGCTACACTAGTCGGGTAAAAAGGATGGAAAACGCTATTTCTGAGAGTCCCAGGACCACTGAGACGCGGTCACTGAATTTTCACAGCCATCTTTCCTGCACAGCTAAATTCAGCACAATGCCAGTGAAGCTCACAGCCACCCAGTGGGTCCTGCAGCTGCCGGCCGGGACTAATCAGAGAGCCCAGACTATGAAACTGCTGGTTCTGTAGGCCTAGAGGGTTAAATATTGGCAATCTCACATGGTTTTGAGTTAATGACATTTGTTCACTAATGTTCTAAATATTCTCAACAAAAACAGAAAGCGGGAGCTGTCTGGAATGAGAACGCTGCAGAAAAAGCATTCATATCTAACGATGACGAATGTGAGCTTTATGGCTCCCTCCGTTTCCAGGTAACTCTCACTCAGCCAAAGGTCTAAGTCTGCAGATTATTCTCGACCAGGAGAAACTGACAGAGACCACACCAATCACCGTCTCCGATGTGCACGGGGCAAAGCGGAGGGAGGCTGCTGCCCTACTCACGTGGCTAGGGAGCAGATGTTTTTGTGGCCACAGAAAGGCAGGCGGACCGTGGCAAAGGCTCTGCCCTGGTTGAACATTTCTGTCACTTGGGAGGGCAAGTAGCTGGTGGAAGCCATTAGCACCTTCCCGAAGTACCCGGTCCAGGTGGTGGGCTCCTCCTGAGGTCTAGAAGGAGGAGACTCATCAGATACATGACTCTTGGCTGTCAATGACCACGTCCCACCCACACAGGGACACGGTCAGCTCTGAAACTTGAGGGACATTTCCCACACTTGAGGAAAAAGAAGGGTGCAGAAAACCATGACCTCTTGAGACCCTGGGGACATTACAGAGTGTGAAGGGTTGGAGGAGAGGGCCTCTCGGGTTTCTGAGCCCAGAAGAGCTGTACTCCTTCTGAATGGCCACGTTAGATTACGGCAAACAATTTGTAGCAAATGAAGGACATACAGGGCCAAATCCATGATCCACCCTGATTTTTTTAAACAAAGTCTCTAAAAACCTTAAAAGCACAAATTTCAAATTGCTATTATCCCACAGCCCATTTTCATTATTGTTCATCTGGTACATATTTGTAAGTTATCTTAAATACTCTGAATACGACAGAGTATAAACTAAACAATGCAGATCCTGGTGGGCTGTCTTTTTAAATTTTAAGACACCCCTTCACCATGCTTATCCATTACAGTAATACATAACTTAAATCCACTGCTTTACGATGAAAAGCACCGAGGGCAGGTTGGAGACAAGCGTTTGCGCCAATGGGCAGGCTACTCAGACGTGCTTCTGTGCTTGAGGGGTGCTGAGAGGTGGATGTCTGTACTGACCGGAAGATAGCCATCTTCCCCCTCACACTACACCTCGCCCTGAGCGCACGCCCATTAGACCATCTGACAGGGACAAATCCCTTTTGCTGCTGAGCCTAGATTTGGTGACATCTATTCTAGAGCCAGCGCCAGGGTCTTTACTGGCAAAAATGTCAGAAGGCAGGCGCCAGTGTCTGCGCTCACGCCTTCATCCAGTCAGCGTTAAGTGGAGAAAGTGCTTTGTAGTTTTGGAAACAAATGTATCTCTAAAACTCACTTTTCTTTCACAGTCTCGAGTTTGAAGATGTGTACAGTCTCAGTGTTGCTGGAGGCGGAGAGGAACATACCGTCCATGCTGAAGGCCAAGGAGCAGATGCTCACACACCTGGGGGACAAGGTGAAGGGGCCCGAGTTATGCCGTCACCCAGAAACACAGGGGGACTTGTAACTAAAGCCGCAGAAAAGAAAAGTTCCCATAACAGGCATACTGGCATCATTCTCAACCCTCTTAGTTATCGTCTCAAAAATTGTCTTGAGAGAAAAATGTTTGAAAGGTAACAAGAGCAATTCTTTAATATTCCTTAATAGCCAATTTAATTTAAATTACAGCAATTCTTAAGACGCAAGAGGGTAAATTGGCAACTCTGATAATGTTTAAAAGTAAAGCTTTCCACATTCAACATGCTCATCTACAGCATGTCTTAAAGATCACTGTAAAAATCCTAAAGCCGTGAAATGTACCTGCATTTCCTCAAACCCCAGAAAGGTGGTAGCCTGTTGGCAGGAAGGGTCCCAGTCAATTCAGGAGCTTTACGGAGGCTCCCGGGACCCCAGCCCTGTGAATGCACGAGCCCCGGATGGTTTCTAACACCTGGAGCACCTAGCGAGGTGTGTGTGCAGCTATCACACTAGCAGCCAGCAAAGGGGGTGCCAGGGCCACAGAGGCACAGACCAGAGGGCTACTTCCGCTGAAGGATCAGGGAGAGGCCTCCTCAAGGGACCCTGACACAGACCCAAAGAGGTCAGGAGACGGCCAGGTCACTACCACGGTAGCCCAAGCCCAGGACACGGCACATGCAAGACCCCCGTGGAGACAGACGACTCTTCTGAGGGACCAAACGTACAGTGTGGCTGGGACTAGGAGTGACAGGGGAAGGGAAATAAAACAGCTGGACAGGGAGGGCCGTAGGAGCTCCAAGTTATTCTACAGTAACAAACTACTTGTATTGCAAGATGCTGCTCATTTACATTAAAATGTATTAGAAATGTTTGCTCATCTTGCAGAACACTCGCAAACCAAGTCACTCGCAATCCAAGGTTTTACTGAATAGGCAAAAGGAGGCAGTGAAGGTTCCAAATGTGCTCTAATAACATTCACATCCTTAAAGAACTGCCTGGGCTGAAGTCTGAAAAAAAACCTGAAGGAGCCAAGAGCAGAGACCAAGGTGGGCGTGGGGTGAGCGGCTGATCTGAATGGGCGGGAGGAGAAGGCGGGACAGCAGCGAGAAGGGGAGATGGGCTTGGTGGGACTGAGTGGGGAAAGCCGCGTGCCTGCTGCCTAACCAGGTGACCCCAAGACCCCCTGGCTTGGTGCCGGGTGGATGGATGGTGTAATATTTACCCAGAGGAGATGTATGAGCAGATGGGGGCACACTCGGGCTGGCTGTGCCCAGCATCCAGTGGGCAGGAGAAACATGGGACCTCGGGAAAGCAGCCTGCCTACACGTACATCAGCACGCAGACAGACGACATGGTGCAGGAGGATGTGTGGCTGTGGGTTTAGGAGTGAGAAGAGGGTCCACGGCAGAAACAAGACGCAGGAGGAGGAAAAGGAGCAGGAGCAGCCAAAGAGGAAAAGTCTAGAAGGGCGTGTTGTTGGGAAAACCAGGGGACAAAAGGGAAAGAGCCACGAGGACAAGGGGAGGGGGAGGGGCTGGGCGTGGCTCTGGAGACAGGACATGACAGCTCACGGTGCGCCTGCGGGAATGACCCCACGGAGGACAGGAGGCAGTGACAGTACAGGGTTGGGGGATGGGACAATGGGATGGACACACACAGCTACAAGTTCTGGAATACTTCTCAAGTACCAGCACTTCCTGGTCCGATTCCTGATCTTGGGGAGGCGGGTTCCATCAGAGGCCCCGTTGGGGTGGGAACCAGAGCCCCAGAGGTCAAGTCTGCTGAGCAAGGCCACACACTATAAGCGGCCCTGGCATCTGGCCTGAGCCCTGCAGCTGGAGGAGGAGGACAGCCGCTCCTTCCTCGGGAGCAGGTGAAGGCAAGGAGGTTACGCGGCCCAGCAAGGTTTGCGGACGGATGAGGTGTGGAGGGAGCCCCGCATGGTGGCTTACTTTTTTAAAGAAAGCACCAAAGCCATTTTTTGGGGTTCAAGGGGAGATGGTCACAGGTTTTCAGAGTCGAGAATAAGGACAGGAGCCTGCTAACCAGGACACAAGTCCTCGGCCTGCCACCTCAGAACAGAGCGAGGAGCCACCCGGCCCAGAGGGCCCGATTATGTGCGTTCCTCCATGCCCTGGGGCCAACTGGCCACCGTGCTGCGTTCAGGTGGGATCACGGACCAATGAAACCCAGCTTGCTGTGTAGAAATGTCCCTTTACCTCCCATGACCAACCAGCTGGGCTGGGAAAACACCCGTCACTTACCAGGATGCCCAGTGTTTACGTCCCCACTTGTTAGAGAGAAAGTGACACTAAAATCCAAACAGAGGCTCCAGAATTGATTTTGGAAATTTATGTACTTTACCTCTTAACTCCTCTCCGGAACTCAAAAAGTTTCTGTCCCTCTGGAATGGAAAATACCCTAATCACGGTCCCCTGTGACAAGGAAAAAGGGAAGAAAAAAGAATTTTAGCGGAGTACAAATAGGCTTTTTCTCTTTCTTTCCTGTCAGACTATAAATGAAACATGTGGCACGTCTTTCAATGACAGCGCACATGGGGCCGGTATGCAGTGTCTGCGGCCCGCACCCAGCGGCCCTGTGCACAACCACCTTCACATTTTCTGCCGCGAGCACGCCACACCCGTGTGCTTACTACTAAATCTTTACATCAACCCACTACTTATTCTAAACACTAGCAGCCCAGACGTCACATGTGGAATATAATCGTTTTATTTTTTTCTAAGTCATTTTAAGTTTAAACTATTAAAAACAACCCCTTTTAAAGCATGTACTCCACCTTGGGAAGGACTCCCTAACTTGAGGATCTGAAGAAGTTTCAGGTCCCACTGATGTCCTTTCTTGCCACTTTCAGTTACTGATCAAGGGAACTGATTAGCTGGAAATGTTACTTGCCTAAAAAGGAATTGGTCCTAACTCACAAAGTGGTAAGACCTATAAAACTTGTACTAAGACGAAAGGAAATATGAATAAGTGGTGAGCTACAGCACCCTCCTGCTTAGAAATAAAATTGTTTGAGGGTGTCAGTTCCCTACCACCCCGCTATCCTCACCTCCTCCAACATTCACAGGGGTCTGTGGGTACACAAGGCAGGGCTTGAGTATCTGAGAGAATAAGAGAAAACAGCCAGGAAAGGGAAACTGGCGCTTCTGCCATGTAGACATTAAAAGAATACCAGCAGCGATCGTAATAAAATAGCACAAGAAACAGGCTGCTAGAACATGGGATGCTATACAGCCATTAGAGATCAGGCTATAGATAACACGGGTCCCTTTTTGAAACGTTTTTTAAGGATAGCAATTCTCTTTGGATGAAAGAACACCAACAGAGTTTGTAATTCTTGAGAATTAGAGGGATAAAATAGTGCATTTGTATATAAAAACAACCATGGCAAAAGTTTTGTCTTTTGTAGCCTAAACTTTTATTTGTATATACAGAGGGTGCCAAAAAAATGTATACACATTTTAAGAAAGGAAAAGGGCCGGCCGAGTGGCTCAGTTGGTTAAGAGTGTGAGCTCTGAGCAACAGGTTCGCTGGTTTGATTCCCACACGGGTCAGTGAGCTGCACCCGAGCTGAGCTGCCAACAGGCTCAGCTGGTGAGAGCACTTGCTCCTAACAACAAGGTTGCCGGTTCAACTCCCGCATGGGATGGTGGGCTATGCCCAACTGCAACTAAGATTCAACACCGCACCTTGAGCTGAGTGGCCACTAGCTGCCGACAGGCGGATGGATGGCAACCGAACTTGGAGCTGAGCTAGCTGCGCCCTCCACAACTAAGATTAAAGGACAACAACTTGGCTGTTCCCCTTCCCCAATTCCCCAACACTGTTCCCCTTCCCCAATAAAACCTTAAAAAAAAAAAAAAAGGAAAAAACTGTATTAAAATTGTAATACAACGAATGACGCCAGAATTCATTTGAATAACACCATCTTTTGAGCGAACGCCCTACTACACATTGCTACGTAATTCAATTCAACTTCGAGAATATATAGATAACGTCCTTAAAATGTGTACATATTTTGGCACCCCGGTATGTATTTATTTATTTAGTGGCACGCCCACTGTGTAACACTAATTAATTACGAGTTGTTGGTCACAGGCTGACGCAGCTCCCTGACAGCAGAATTAAGCCACACACCTCGGTGCCCTGGTGTGGCCCCAGCACCTAGTACACAGCAGGGCTAAGAAGGTCACTGGTGGTCTAATCTCACAAACTAACAGGATTCTGTTTAAAAGTAAATCAAAAGTTGCTCTTTATAGCCCAGAAAAAACCTGTTCTATTTTTACTGGCCTTGAAATTCCATAAAGTGCTGTAGTGCCCTTCTAAGACCTAATAAAAATCATAAAGATAAGACTTTAATTAATCAAGAGGTAATAGGCCATTTTGATGCTCCCAGGGGAAAAGAAAAGGACAAGGTGTTATTGTAGCAGTCCAGCAGTGTTTAAAAGCAAAGTCGGGCTTGGAGTCCAATCCCTGATTCTGCCAAGCTGTGTGACCCTAGGCAGATTACTTAACCTCTCTGAGCTCCCAATATAAAACCTTGCTGAGAGGATCAAGTGAGGTAATGAATATAAAAAGTCTAGTATAATTCACGATGTAAGTGGTCTGTAAACAGTAGCATCATCATTATAGAAACTGGGTTTGAGAGTCAGGAACAAAGACCCACACAGGACAGTTAAAGCAGGGAGCTGACTTTCTGTATCTTACTTGGTTGGCTGGCTCGAGGGGAGAGGTGACTTAGGAGGAGAGGATATTTTAGGTTTTCAGAGAAAGCATCCAAGTAAAATTAAGCAGCAAGCAACTGAAGAGCAGGTACCAGAGCTCAGAGGAGGGGAAGGGCAGGAGAACACCCCCTCTTCCGGCCAAGAGAAAGAAGACAGAAAAAAATTTTTAAGACGAGCGGAGCAGCAGAGGGAGAAGACGCAGCAGGCCAAGTGGGGGAGAGAATGAGGACCCAGCAGCGTCATGGAGGCTGAGAGACAAGGGTCAAACAGAAGGCCTGCCAAAGCCATCGCGTTCCATGCAGAGACAGCTTTAAGAAAGGCCCATCCTTTTAATCCAGAAATTCTCCTCACTGGACTCTCTTAATCATTAGAGATGCGCATAAAAGATTTATATGTAAGAGTTAAGTAAACTATTATTTATAGTCTAAATATCAACACATATTTATATATCATTAATACATTATTCTAATATATTGTAAATATTAGAAACAATATAAATGTCCCAAAAAGGATGTTTAAGTAAAGCAAAACTAAAAACCGTATAGCCGTTACAGGTGTTTTTTTAATTTAGAGAAACACACTATTTATTATGCAGAATGGAAAAAAGGAAGAGAAATCATACACATAGTATGATCACAACTTTGTTAAATAAATAGAAAAGGAATGAAAGGAAATACATTGAAATGTGTTCAGACAGGCTCTGGATTAAACTGTCTCTGCTTTTTCACACTTTTCATCATCTTCTAAGCCCTCTACCACAGCACACGACAGTGTCGTAATTTTAAAGTGCCCTCGGTGAATGCGTGGTTACGCACGGCACTTTGGGTCTCCTTTGTCTCCTGTCATTACTGTCAGGTGAGAGCCAGCTCCCGGCAACACATCTCACAGCCTGACCGGTGGGCTGTTGTCTGTGTTCCTTTGTAAGCTGGTCGATACAGAAATCGTTTGGTAACTTGACTGTGTGAATGGAACTGAAAAGTTTGCTGAAACAGCTGAACCAGTCTTCCACTGGGCACAGCACAGCAGACTTACCTTCTCTGAAGCAGAGGCAAGCTTGGTTCCACTGGCGTCAAAAGCCAGTGCGGCTAGAGGACTGTCGTGAGCAGGGATCATGTTTGCAGCTCTCTGGAAGGGTAAACCAGTAAAGCGTGAGTGCCACACAGCGAGGGCTACGTTCTGCTACCAATGGCCGTTAGGCCGAACGTGCCAACAAGTGGCTATGAAAGCATCCTTCCAGGTATTACAAACACCAAGGCAGCTGACTTACTGGGGGCGGGGCCAAAGAATGCTGCTCAGAATCTTAAGCACAGCACTTCATCTCTAAGTGTGGGCGCCTTCCCCATTCCCCAGCATGCACACTGGGGATGAGCACAGTGCCGTTATGTGGGAGCAGCACCCCGAGACCTGCTCTGCCACCAGAAGCAGCAGTGAGAACTGTGGTGCCGGGCCAAGGAATCTGGGTGTCAGAGGCCCACAACCCCCGCTTAAGGACAAGGCACCCCGTGAAGAGCTCTGCAGTGCAGGAGGAACCTCACCAAGTTAATGGTGTCGAAGACCTGCACCTCCCCGATGGTGGCACTGCCTGGGTACGCCAGGTAGCAGTTGTCGTTGTTGATGGATAGTGCACACAGGCCTGTGAGGACACGGGAGGACAGTGCAGTGTTAGTGCCAGAGGGCTTCCTTTGCAGTCCTCTGATAACAGCATTTACTTAACAGAGAGTGTGTCAATCAGAGCTCTGAGCCAACCTCGGTCCTTGCACTGTTGAGTTTTTAGGTTCCGCACTCCAAACTGCCACCTTGGGTGACAGCAGACTTGTAGAAGTAGGTTAAAGGCCTCTGGCTGGAAGTGATTAGTAACCTCAAAACTGGAAGCTGACCAAGCCAATGACTTATGTGGTCACAAGACCAGCAGCATTAGAAGGAAGCTTGGTTTAAGGTCAATACGTTTTAAACACCTACATCTGTGGAGCCTAGACAGAGAAAAAGCCAGCCATCTTTAAAAGGCAGATCAGGAAAACCAACTGTGCCCACAGTTAACTCACCTGCTGGGTTTGGGGGGGTCTCCCTGATGGTGTGCAGAACCTTCATGTCCCGGATGTTGTGTATGTACAGAGACTCCTCCAGGCACACTATGAGCCTCTAGGGGACACGGGAACAGAGAGCCAACATGAAGCAAGAGCCAAGCACGGCACACTCCCAGTCTCACTGAGTGCAGCTGCATTCGGACGCTCTGCCTTCCCTCTCGACACCGTGCAGACGGGACACCCGTGGCAGAGGACGCTGGCCGTCACCAGGCGGCCTCCCCTAGCGCCATGCGCCTCATCTGAGCCAGTGTGCCTGTTCCCGAAACTATTTCTGTCGCATGTACTAGGACTTCCAACTATTCGACTTAATTCTGTATCACAGAAACTGGTCAATCACAGCCAAGAAAAGTGTGGCTTGTTCTTGTTCAGCTCTCACCCCCTGCATGAAGACTAGATCAAGTTGGTAGGTTTGGTAATTAAAAAGCTGGTGTTGAGGGCCAGCCGAGTGGCTCAGCTGGAAGAGCTCGCTTGGGAGCGCCAGCTCTGAGCAGCAGGGCTGCGGTTCGGATCCCACATATGAGGGCCAGTGACACTGCCCTCTACAGCTAAGATGCTGAACAACAGCTCAACCTGGAGCTGGGCTGCTGTGAGTCGCCGGCGACGGTGTAGGCTGCAGTGGGGCTGCAGTGGGCTGCCGTGAGCTACGTTGGGTGGCTGGCAGCCAGGTGAGTGGCCAGCAGCCGTGTGAGCTGCCGGGAGCCGCTGTGAGCGGCCAACCAATGACTGGCGACAGATTGCCTCACCCGGGAAGAGCACAATGATCATACCAACATGGGCCAGTGAAGCGTCATACTCCACAACTAGACTGAAGAACAAAATCAGCAATTTGTCTACCTGTCTGTTCCCCTCCCCCCAACTCCCCAATAAAATCTTAAAAAAAAAAAAAAAAAGCTGGTGTTGAAATGGGTATGGCAAGGTCAAAGGAAAAGCCTGGGAATTTCTTAGAAGTATGTAAGTCCAATCTGCACTCAGCTTCTCTTGCAGGGGTCTAAGTTTTTGCTGCATCTGAAAGATGGATGTAGCTGCAGCTGATGCAGTGAGGGGAGGGTTTACACAAGAAAGACAACTTGGCATGCACGTGCTCCACATGAGCCGCTACATGAACGTACATGTGCATGTTTTAAGTTTAAAATAGGTCAACAGGTTAGTCCTTAGAATTCCCATTTTAACCAACGTTTTCAGTTCACGGGCCAATTCCCAGCTTCAGCCACATCAGCGGGCCTCGCCCGGTCACATTTCAGGATCCGTTCCACGTATGGCTGCTCACCCCGCCTGCCCTGCACAGAGCACTTCACTGTAAACACAAATGCTCAGGGGCCGGAGGACAGTGCTGTGCTTGTGAGTGAGCACAAGGCGCGAGGGAGCCCGGGGAGTCAATACATGTGCCGGTCAGCAAGTCCACACTGCGAGTTGGGGGCAACATTTAAAAAGTGCTAAGTCCTTCCTTCTAAACAGTTAAATTAACAGTTTAAAATAGAAAAAAGAAGATGCTAACAGATTTTTAAAAGTAACATTTATAGAAGCAAAAGCTAAATAAACTATGATTCAACTCTAAGGACGAGGTGAGTTCTCCTGGGACACTGCCGACAGGTTCTTGGAAACAACGGACATGAAACCCACTCTACCCTGGACTACTGGACAGTGAAAGAAGTTAAGTTCCTCCGGCATCTCACCCACACGAGCACATGTTTGAGGGTCTCCTGTGCACAGACACTCAGGTCTTGGAAGGATGAAAAAAACAATCTGGCACACAGCAGGGACTCCAGGAACGGAGTGGTTAGGGCAACACTATTGAGAAAACCAGGCGGGCCGAGGCAGGGTGTGGGCTGAGGTGAGCAGCTGCATGGACGAGAGGGCTGAGGGACCAGGAACGCCAGCTAAGGACCGTTGGCTTTGTCCTAGAGGCGCTGGAGGAAACTGCAATGGCAGTGACCATCAAAGCTGTACTGAAAACCCAAGGCATGGGACAGAGCACACTTGACAGTTTGATTCAAATGAAGAGCGTCACTCACCTGCCTGTTCAACTTCACGGCCAGTATCGTGTTGGAGTAGCTGTAGTTGCAGATCTCAGTTCCTTTCTTAAAGTGGCAAACTTTTAGTTTCCTAGGAGCTTTGAGGCTGACGATGGCCACTAGGCTGCTTGAGAACAATCTTTCTACTATGCACACGTCTTCAGTATCAGCTTAAAGTAGAAAATAAAATATGGATCCAGGTCAACAGGCGCAATCTGCTCACACACACAGCATGTGTCTAAGTGCAGACTTATGTAAAGCAGAGCACGACGGGGCTCCACGGTGGGCGTGTGGTGAGGGGGCTGGGCTGCAGGGACAGTCCCAGAGCAGCACGGGAAACGTAAAGGTGAGCTCTGGGGCAGACAGGCCGGGGTTAAACACACTGCTTAGGAGCCACAGACAACCACTCTCAGGGTCTCCCTGCCAGGAAAGCCTCTCTGTATTCTGCATGGAGGCCCATCCTCAGCTCAAATGCCACCTCCTTAGAGGCCTGTCCCCCACCTCCCACTCTGTCCAAGGGAGGTCTCCTAGTTCCTCTCTCGCATTATCCTGGTCACATCCTCCCTGGCAATCCCCTGTGATCGCCCGTGTATCCGCCCACTGGTGCTCCTTGTACCCGCTGGAGGGTGAGTCCAGGAGGACAGAGGCTGCACTTCCTGCTCACAGCCGTCCCCCCGGCCCTTCCGACGGCGCCTGACATACGGTGGCCCCTGACATACGGTGGCCCCCACACAGTCTTTGAATGACGCAATCTTTCTAAGTCTTGTTTTCCTCACATGTAAAAGGGGCATCAACTGCTCTACAGTACTATTAGGAGAGAACGCCAGAAACCAGCCCAGAGTCAGTGCTTTATCCCCCTTAGCTCTCTATGCCCCACTTAAAGAGGGGACACCCCCTACGCAAAGACTGGATTAACACCAAATGCAGACAGCATCTTACACAGAACGTAGCAGATACAGCGGATCCTCCAGGAATATCACTTCACCCCCATCTCTACTGATTACCCATACACCCCAATTGCTCCTTATTCCTCCTTTGTTTTATCAGGAATTACCTGGGGGTAAGTTCAGATCTAGAAGCAAAGAGAATTCTGGAATGTAGTTAAATCGCAGAGCAAGAATCTAGATTGTTTCCATATGCAGCCTATCTACCTGACCTACAGGAAATACAGCTATGCCGGTGTTTCAAGCATGTATTCATGCATTCTTCTCTTCAAATTGATCTCTTGATCAATGCAATCCCAAGCATAATCCCAGCCAAGTTTTTTGTTCACAGTAACAAACTGATTTTAAAATCAGGAAAGCAAAGGATCTAGAATATCCAAGGCTATCTTGAAAAAGAACAAAGCTGAAGGGCTTACACATATTCAAAGCCTGGTATATAAAGAAAGCTACAGCAGACCGGGCAGTGTGCTACTGATGTAAAGATTGACAAGTCATCAGTGAAAGGACTGAAGAGCACAACTGGACCACACTTACAGGACTGCTTTTAAGCAACAAAACAATCCAATCAGGGAAGAGTAATTTTTTTGACAAATAGTGGAACAACTGGAATCCATGAAGAAAAAAATTAGCCTTGACTCAGACCTCACACCATACACCAAAATTAATTTGAGACGGATCACTGAACATAAAAGCTAAAACTATAAAGCTTTCAAAGGAAACACTGGAAAATACTTTCGTGACTTCACGATAGGCAAAGGTTTCTCAGAAAGGACACAGAAAGCAAAAATCATAAATGCAAAAAAAAAACCCAATGGATAAATCAGACTTCATCAAAATTCAGCATGTTTGCTCAAAAGACAGGACAAGACACAGACAGGGAAAAAATATTATCTGACAAAGGACTGGTATCCAGAGCATCTAAAACTCTGACAACTCAATAATAAAAGACAGTCAAGTTTAAAAAGAGACAAAAGATCAGAAAAGACATTTCACAGAAGACAAACGGCCAACAAGGACATGAAAATGCCCAACACTGGTCACCAGGGAAATTCAGATTAAAACAACAAGGGGAGGGCCAGCCGAATGGCTCAGTTGGTTAAGAGCTTGCTCAAGAGTGCGAGCTCTGAGCAACAGGGTCGCCAGTTCAATTCCCACATGGGCCAGTGAGCTGCGCCCGAGCTGAGCTGCGCCCGAGCTGAACTGCTGCTGAACTGTCAACAGGTGGCAGGATGGCTCAGCTGGTGAGAGCACGTGCTCCTAACAACAAGGCTGCCTGTTCGAGATAGTGGGCTATGCCTGCCTGCAACTAAAGACTGAACTTGGCACCTTGAGTTGAACTGCCGCCCGGGTGGCTCAGTGGATAGGGTGCGCTTTCTTAACAACAAGGCTGCCGGTTTGACTCCCGCAGGGGATGGTGGCTGTGCCCACCCACAACTAATTGAACACAGCACCTTGAGCTGAGCGGCATGACTGGACTTGGAGCTGAGCTTGTTGCGCCCTCCACAACTAAGATCAAAGGACAACAACTTGGCTGTTCCCTTCACCCAATTCCCCAATAAAATCTTATTAAAAAAACCCACAAGGAGACGTCATTACACATACACACACCACAATAACTAACAAAAAGACCAACACCACCAAGTGGTGGTGAGGATGGAGAGCATGAGGCTGTCATGCAGCATTGGAGGGGACACAAAATGGGACAGCCACTTAGGAGCATCTGGTCATTTCTTATAAAATGAAACACGTGTTCTATTCCTAGATATTTACTTTAAGAAATGAATATATGTATCCACAAAGCGTTGTACAAGAGCGTTCATAGCAGCTTTATTCATAATAACTAAAAACTGGAGAAAGCCCAGATGTCTACCAACAGGGAATGGACAAGCTGTCATATATTCATATACAGCTGACCCTTGAATGAGGGGCACCAATCCCGCCCCTCCACAGTAGAAAATATGCATATTTACTTATGACCCTCCAAATACTTAACTACCCTCGGTATCTACAGGGGACTGGCTCCAGGGCCCCCCCCAATACCAAAACCCTCAGGTGCTCGAGTCCCCCATATATAATGGTGAGATCAGTGCATCCACAGACTCCCAACCACAGATGGAAAACAGCACAGGTATTTATTGAAAAAGTCTGTGTATACGTGGACCCGCACAGTTCAAACCTGTGGTGTTCAAGGGTCACCTGCCACATGCAACAATATGGATAAATCTCAAAACATTACACCGAAAGAAGCCTTAGAAAACAGCACATGCTGCGTTTGTGATGTTCTAGGACAGGTAAGCTTAGTCTATAGCAGAGAAAGCCCAGACGCTCCTTGCCTCTCAGGGGGTGGATGGGAGTCGGGACTGATGGGGGGTGGGGTGGGTATGAGGGAGCTTTCTGGAGAGAAGGTAAACCTTGACAGTTCAGGTTATACAGATGTATGCATTTGTTAAAACCCACGGAATGTTTATTTAAGAGCTGTACATTCCATTGTATATAAATATTACCTCAAAAGAAAAAACTAAAACCTTGACCTCGTTAGCAACAATCATGCTGAGGTATTTAAGGGAGTATCTACTGATGTAAAGGACTAATGCATCAGGGTGTTCGCGTATCTTTCCCATCCAACCAGTTTGAACATTTTTTTTTTAATTTTAATGAAAAAAAGCAGATGAGATCTCTTTTAGAATTTTAAAAACAGAGAGTGTGTGTGTGGAGACAGCAAGGCTATCTTTAACTGCAAATATTCATCAGATAACGGTTATCATGAACCTCCATATTTAACAAACCACCTAGATTTAACAAATTTGAACTTTCTAACTTTCTGCCATTTAGCTTCAATTATTTTTTTCTTTTCTGAAGTTTCAAAGAGAAGCTCCTCATCCTGACATTTCACCTGTATGTGCGTCAGTAAGCCCCTTTACATAAATAAGGACATAGGAAAAACAGATTTTCCAGCCTGTGACAAAAGTGGAAAATACCTTACATCACAATAAGCTCCAGGTGGATCAAGTATTTCATGTAAAACACCAAACAACTAGAAAGTGACACAGGAGACTGTCCTGTGCCCCCTGGGACAGGACAAGACCTTCTAGTGCTCAGAAGCCTTACAAGGGAAGACAAATGCAGTTAAACATGCAAAAATTCAAGACTTCAGGATAACAGAAAAACCACAGGAAGGTCAGAAAGCTAATGACAATCCAGAAGAAATATTTGCAACCCACGGCAAATGACTAATTTGCTTTACATCAGTAAGAGACAAATAATCTAACAGAAACGCAGGCATAGGGAAGAAACAAGCAGTTATAAAAAAGAAAAAGCAAATGACTACATTAAAAAAATAGAGTTCCACTTCAATTATGAGTTAAGGAATGTAAAAAAGGCAACGAACACATTTTTTAATCTCAGACTGGCCTCACGAGTATGACAATGTCTGATAGTGTAGAAGCGAGGAGACAGGTGCCCATCCGGTAATAAAAACAGGTTGGTGCTATCTCTTTTAAGGGTAACGAGGCAATATCTATCAACTTTAAAATGCTTATCTGTTGCTTCTCTCTCCAACAGGTGTTACTCACATGTGGGCGAAACAAAGACGCTCACCCAGCAATCCCACTCCTACAGGTATCTACCTACTTAAGAGAAATGAAAACACGTGTCCACACAATAACTTGTATGCGAATGCTCACAGCAGCACTACTCACAATAGCCCAAAAGTGGAAACAACCCAAATGTCAGTCAACAAAACAATGAAATATTATTGAGCAATAAAAACAAAGTAAGTGATGATACGTGCTCCACCATGGATGGATCCTGCAACATGCTCAGTGAGAGCAGCCAGTCACATATGGTTCCATTTATCTGAAGTGTCCAGAGCCGCAAATCTATAGTGACAGAAGGTAGATTAGTGCTGGCCCAGGGCTGAGGCGGGTGGGGAAACGAGGAGTGACTGCTAATGGACTCAGGGCTTCTTCTAGGTAATGATAAAAATGTTTTAAAATTAGATTATAGTAGGCTGTATGTACAGCTTAGCAAATATACTAAAATCCACTGAATTGTACACTTTAAACAGGTGTATTTACAGCACATAAATTATATCTCAAAAAGCTGTTTAAAAAGCCCACACAGGCAGACTATTGCAGAAATTTGAATTCTGGCCAATATATTAAGTTGTGATGTAAAAAGTATAGGGCAGCAGGGACTTTAAATATCAAGTTGAGCACTGGTGAGAAAACGGGCGACAGAGACAGAGGGCAAAAGTGAGGTGTCAAGGCGGAACCTTGTGGGCATCTTCTCAGACACCACCAGGCCCTGGATCCTACACACACACCAGCTTCAAGGGGTCTCTTAAAATGCCCAAATCATATGCCGGGGAACCACCTGTAACTTTCATCAGATTTCCAAAGGAGCCAGGAAGCAGAAAAAGGCCAGGCCACTGTCACCTGCAGCTGACACGTTTTTGTCACTACTTATGAAGTGCTCACACAGAAGAATTCAGTTCGGCGCTCTGAGTCCTTCAGACCAACTCACCTACATCTTCTCAGGAACACACCTCTCATGCAGCAGCCTACCTTCATACATTGGTAGTGGCTTAGGTTCACTGTCCTTCTACTGCATTATTTTAAGCTCTCTCACATTTTTATTACAGCTACTCCCAAGGGAGCTTTTTAAACACATGAATACACACAGAAGCGACATACCCTGAGTAGTCGCTTCCCACTAACACTCAGATCTCCTGTGAAATAATGGTGCAGATGAACCAGGCTGATGACTGAAGGGTGCTGTCACCAAACGGACAAAAGAACATCAAGGCTGTACATCTGTAATCATTCAAGATGGCCTGTCACCCAGACCAGTGCCAGGAAGCAGTGACCTCCAGCGTCTATGGCCTTGATTCCCAGTCCATTGGAGGTGGCCTCTGTCACAGATTCTGTCAAACTTTCTTCTAGAGAGTACCTCTTCAATATTTACTTTCAGAAACGAGTTACAGTAAAACCTTGGATTGCGAGTAACTTGGTTTGCGAGTGTTCCGCAAGACAAGCAAACATTTCTAATACATTTTAACTGGGTAAACAAGCGATGTCTTGCAACACAAGTAGTTTGTTTCCAGAACGAATTATGCTTGCAAACCAAGGTATTACTGTACTTAAGAAAGAAAGGAGCTTTGCTTCTGCTAGCACTGTTTAGAGCTGACCATCATAAAACTTCTATAGCGGGAAGAAAGGAAGAACAAAGCCATTAAGTAACGGATAGAACACACTTAGGAACAAGACCTATCTGTCAGATGCCTGGAGCTCCTAAGAGATACATGTTAAGAGCCTGATCTTCCATTACATCAGATTTAGGCAGAGAAAGGCAACTGGAGTTTCTCCCCTGCAAGACCCATTACGATAAATCTCAATGAAACCAATATTCCATCCAGTGCATGGTCTGCCAAACCAGCACGATGCCAGAAAGCACCATTTCTCAACCCTTACGATGCAGATGACAGCCTGTAAAGGCAATGAGGTTCGTTTCTTGATAGAATGTGTTCTATGTCTATGGAGGCGTTTCTATCAGGGGAGGAGGCTCTGGTCACTTTTGCTGAGGCAAGGAACAGTCTGCTTATGTCCAGCTTCAGAATTCAGTGCTTCATGAGGTGTTTTCCAGCTCAGACACTTACAAAATGCAAAGCTACACAATGCAGAATCTGAAAAAGCCAACTTTTCCTTCTAAGCTTCTGTGATATTTCACCAATAATAAATCTACATCCTTATTTTGCCTAACAGGGTAGGATTTCATTGCATAATATTTCAGGGATGAGAGATCACATATTTGCATATTATTTATCTTCAAACTAACAAAGGACAGAGAGAAAGAGAATGACAAATGGAGCACACACAAACAATGGGCAAAGATCCATGGGAGTTTTTACAACTTTCCTTTAAGTTTGAAATTACAACAATATAGTTAAAAAAACAAAAACCTGGGCCAGCTGAGTGGAGCATTGGTTAAGAGTTGGCTTGGGACGCCAGCTCTGAACAGCAGGGTCCCTGTTCGGGTCCCACAAGAGAGCCAGTGACACTGCACCCTCTACAGCTAAGATGGTGAACAACACTCAACCTGGAGCTGGGATGCTGTGAGTTGCTGGTGACAGCATAGGCTGCAGCCCCTGCTGCAGTGGGTTGCCATAAGCTACTGTGTGTAGCTGGCAGCCAGTGTGAGCGGCCAAGAGCTGCCATGAGCGGCCATCCAGAGGCTGGCAACCGATCTGCCAGCCGGGAAGAGCGCAATGGTAATGCCAACATGGGCCAGTGAAGCGACGTCCTCCACAACTAGACTGAAGAACAAAAGGACAGCAACTTGTCTGTTCCCCTTCCCCCGATTCCCCAGTACTGCTCCCCTCCCCCAGTTCCCCAATAAAATCTTAAAAAAAAAAAGTTCTATGTCCATTTCATCACCTATTCTTTAAGGGCCAGAGTTCACTAAGAACAAAGCAATTTACATACCACCTCACCATGTTGGTCAGTAAATACCCACCCTTTTAACAATGCTATCAAGACATCACATTTGTTCCAACAAAAAAACCTTTGAAAAATGAGGTACCAAAAACTAGTACATAACCTTCAAGGAAACAGTCATTAAATCGATTCAGTTGAGGAACAGTAATTGAAGGGGTGTATTTTACACCCTTTCTAAGCTCTGGGTGTCCAAATGGGAAATTCTGTGGCTTTCCAAATAGATGACTCTAGTCTCTACAGCAACAACTTCACAGCACTCTCCAGGCCCTTGTCTGGGTGCAGAGGAATAAATGATCAGTCATTGTAAAAGCCCAGGGACTGGGCTCCCCTTCTTTGAAGAAATCCCCTACAGGGCGCAACCCTGTGTGGTGAAGTGAAGGCAGCCGGTCTGGAGCATTTCAGAAACAATGACACCCATTTGAGATGAGTGAGCACACTAGTTCACAGCTGTTTTATCACCCAGATCACATCTTCCAGCTACACACTAGAACAAAGGCTTTTTAGGAGATTTAGCAAGCATCGGGGGTAAGTGCGAGGACAAAAGAATAAAATCTAAGGCAGCCGGCAGGAACCACCAGTCAGGAACACTGTGAGAATTCTGCCTCCCTGCTGTCTCCCTATAAAGGGCCTGGGTGCCTGCCTTCAGGACAGCAACACACGAGGTACTTGCTGGGGAAAGCCAGACATACTTCCTGACGGAGGTGAGGGGGCACCTGAGGGCTCACCCGAAGAGAGCAGTCCAGGGCCTGGGAGAGAGTATGGAAGCCTCTGATCTCCTTCCTGGTGGGCCATGAGAACTCGACAATTTCAAGCAACGGGCACAATCTACTTGTTTTCCGGCTGTCTTCACCTTATGTTAATGGGGGTGGGGTGGGGTAGGGGTGGTGCTTATGTCTATGTTTGCTTGTCTTTGTGTCCCCCCACCTAAGATCGGACACAAATATATTTACTTGTTCTTTGTCTTCCTCCATTTAAGCATGTCAAGAAAGCAGGAACTCTGTTGCTACTGCATCTCCACAACCAAAACTGGGCTGGGACACAGCAGGTCCTCAATAAATGTTTATGGAGAGAATGGAACCAAGAACGGGTAAGAGAAGTCTATTCACATTAAACAAATGTTATGCGTGTGAGAAGAGGGCAGGGTTTCTCATCACATTCTCACTGGGGTATGAGGGTGGGTCCTGCACCTACTCCTATTTATCCAGCAGATACTGTGTACACACACAAAAGAAAACCCAAGACAACGAGGCCCAGACATGCAGGAATCTATCTAAAGTCACACAATAAGTGACCGAGCAAGAAGTCAAAGCTCATGACCCTTCTGCAATTCCATATTGCCTCTGAGAGGTCAGCTACTCAAATTCCCGAAACTGACAACTGAAGGAAATAAATCATTCCTATGGGGCTGTAAAAATTTCAATTTTCTGGAAGCCTTTATGAAGGAAACCTAAATGGTTTAAATGGCATTGAAAAGGGGGAGAGATTATAGAATAATAAACACAGTATGATACCGTGTATTAAAAAAAAATACCCACAAAACAAATATTTCTGCATGTACACTTATAAGTATGCAAATAAACAGAAAACCATCTGGGAGGACACCCACAAATTGTTCAGTTGTCACCTCTGAGTAAACTAAGGTGAAAGAAGAGTATGTATTGGTCAGGGGGCATCAGGGTTTCAATCACAGTGTCTGAGTTTAAGAATGCATTTCAATTCAAGTATAACTTGTCTATTTTTTTAAGAAGGGGGAAAAATAAAGCAAACACTTACTGCATTCATAGATCTGTTCCAGCTTATCCACAGAAGAAAGGGAGAAAAATTTATAACCGGACTTACTACCAACAGCTAGGGACCTGCAAAAAAGCCAAATTCAGAAATAAGAGCTGATACGTGTAGACAATGATAATGCACAAACTAGCTCCATGTCACCAAACAGTAACCATCATCTCTACCAAAAATTAGCACAAATAATTTCACGTCGTTTGTACCATGTGAGTGGTAGCTGAGCAGAAAAGAGAAGGTGGCAAAGGAAGATGACACACCCCACAGCCAGGAAAAGGCGAAGGTCAACAAAATAGACAATATTTTTATTTAAAAGTTTAAACTTTAAAGATAAGTTTGACAAGTAAATGAAAGTAATCAGCCCTAAATTAACGATCCCCTCCAAAAAAAGGGGTTTCTCAGGTGATTTGATATACATGCACAGTATATGTGCGAGCCAAAAAGAGCGCTCTCATTCTGATTAAACATAGATACATAAAAACAGATATTTACAGCCTGGGTGGTGGATGACATCTCTGCGTTTCAGTAAGGCCGTACCTTATGCAGCGCGATCACTTGTGCTATGGCTGAGCAGTGGGGCGGAAATAAAACAGACCAGACCGAAAAGCTAACGGAGGACCTGGAATTGGCAGACTACACAGCTGGTCCAGAAGGAGAAAGCGAAGGCTCCGTTTTCAGAGCTTCGTCCGTAAGGTTCTGCGTTCACCACCCCACACCAACACTGCAACTTTTGCTAAGAGGTTTGGAGGGGCCTCAAGAGCTCTCCAGATCCACTCACACAGGAGAGCTGTGGCATGAAACAAAGTATTTCCTCATCAGAAGGTCACTACTCCCTAGAATGTGACTGAACAAGGAGAAAAATAAGGAGAAAGCATAGCTTTCAGAAACAGAGGGTGAGAATGAAGCAGGAAGTGGTAGGACATGCAAAGAATCAGACACTGGGATCATTTTTATATTTAAGTCTGGGAAGGCACGAAAACAGGTGGGGGCAGAAGATAAATCAAAGACGAGAAATAATGAAGACTGACATTTCATACCATGAGTATTTGCAGCCCAAGATAAAAGTTAGGGCTATTTTAATGACCATTTCATTTATTAAAGTCTTGAGATTCCCAACCTCTCTTTACACGGATGTAGAAGAAATATACTGTTGACCCTTGAACAATGTGGAGGTTAGGGGCACCCACCCCTGCACAGTCAAAAATCTGTATGTAATTTTGGACTCCCCCCAAAACTCAGTTGTCCCTCAGTAACCGGGGGGATTGGTTCCAGGTCCCCCCAACAGATACCAAAATCCATGGATGCTCAAGTCCCTTATATAAAATGGCCCAGAACAATGCACATACCCATGGGTGTTTGAATCCACAGATGGGAAACCCAGGGATACAGAGGGCTGACTGTATATTTACTATGTTGAAAAAAATCCACATTAAGTGGACCCACATAGTTCAAACCTGTGTTGTTCAAGGGTCAACTGTATTCCAAGAACAGAGCTGGTGTAAGCACCCTTAAATGTTTAAATTGGTTTATGTTAAAAGTATAAACAGAAACAAAACTTTCTACCAGCTCATATTATTTTTCTTTGCAAAAATACTTCACCACATTGAATTAATTATATCAATGAAGTGATTAGGTATCATTGCCTGTAAATATTTTGAAAAGTAATAAAGAAACCAACAAAAATGTAAGAATATCCAGGAAGGCTAAAAATAAAACAAAATCTCAGCAATCCACAACTTTTGGGAAACTGGTGTTGAGGAAAATGTTTTCCAGCTAATTAAGAGTTGCTAGTTTAAGCACCAAAACTGCCCCCCAACCACCACCACCATTTATGATTAAGAAAAAAGTCCTTCTTGTATTATATGCTTTTCTGTGTTCTTAACACAAGGGGGTGGCAAATTATTAACATTATCCTGGACTCGCATCATTAAATGGCTTACTATATACTATCATAATACTGTAACCCTCAGACCACAAGGAGTTCAGGGTTTTGTGTACCTGTATCATATGGCTAGGCTGTAGTGCTGAGATTATAAAAATACTTTTTACCTTTTGTTTTGCTGACAGTTGTCCCTTTCCCTGTGATCCTACCCTCAGTAGCCCCTCTCTTTCTAACTTCTTGCTGACTTCCAAACCAAATCACCAAGCTTATTAGTATGCCTAGAGAGGGCTTCTTCTATGGGCTAAATAATGAGCTTTAATTAATTAATTAATGAGAACCTGGATTCTGATATATCCAGGTTTCAGATGTGCTCCAAACAGGCAGAATTTGTTAAAACTGGGCTTTGTTGATCAAACATCAGAACTTAGATGTTCTTCTGGATATTCAGAAACTGCTTTAGGATATTAAATACTGTAGCTAGAATTTTAATTGCATGTTTTACAAAACTGATTGTACACCCCAGTCAGTAAGAAATGTAAACAAAAATATTGCAATTATTATTTCATATGTGTATATGGTATAGTGTGAGTATATATTTTACCAATAAAGGTAGACGTTTTTAAAGGGTGATATTAAATATACATAGGTTTAATATTTTCTCAGCTCAAAACCAAAAATCAGGTTCACATACCCCTCTTTGGAGAGTCTGCTTTTAATAATTTCTCTTGATTCACCTGATCATACAATGGCATTTTAATGGGAGAGGTACAGTAACAGATAAGTATGAGATTGCACTAATAATCTTATTCCCCAATAAATGTTCATGTGGTAAGTTTGTTAAAGATAATGCAACGAGTATCTTTCATCGACAAAGGAAAAACTAGCAAACCATAACAGAACAAAGGATACGTTTACTTAATTCCCCATTTCACTCCCATACCCCTGCCTTCAACTGTCCCAGGTCAAAATGCAGAGACCCTGTCGTACCCTGTGGAGACAGGCCTAAGTACTACCCAGGGCAGCAGAGAGTGACGGCTTCTGAAACGTACTCGGAGCCAATCCTCTTCATTTTCACTGCACACCCCCCTTTATTCCACTGCTACAGCTTCCCGAGGCTGCCAATCCTGAGCCTTCTGGGGACTCTGCCGTTTAAACAAAGTTGGTCCTCTGTTTTCACCACTAGCAATTTAGGATGCACTTCTTTTACCACTTGCTAGTTTCCAAAATTTTGTTGCCGTGTCCCTCCCCTTTCTCATCCTCCCCATCCTATGGGTTTAAGCCTTTTAAAACATCTTTTTGATATTTTGATTGACATTTTATTAGGATTCTGGGAGGGAGCCAAAATAAATGCTCGTGTCTGATCCACCATCTGAAAGTCTCTGTCACTGAATTTAAACTTGAGTGGTCAGTATCTGAAAGACAGTGATTTCCACTAAAAAAAAGAAAAAAGAAAAAGAAAAAAGGAAAGCAAAAATGTGAACCAGATCTTTTTCTTAACTTACTTTTCTGTACTCTTTTGCTGATGATCAATCCTAAAGGCTTTCCCTTTTCATTATCTTCCTCATTAAAGAGGTTAGAGATTATAAGGTTAAGTGGAGACAGTTTACACCCATAAAAACTATCAGCCTGGTAGCCCTGGAGTCCTGTTTAGTAAGTTAACAGCCACTACAGGCCCTTCCTTCCAGCTCCCGTCAAGGCCATCCCAGCCTCCGCGGAAACAGCTCTAGTGCCTTTCAAACTCAACTGGTACCCAAACCAGAACTCATCATTGCCCCCTACACCGAATCCTTCTCTGGTCCTTGTCTCGTAATATTATTACTGTTCTCCCAGAACCCAAACCAGAGACTTGGGGGTAACCTTAATTTCTCCCTTACATGCATCATGGACCCTGTGGGTCACACCAAGTCCTGACGGCTAAATGGGAAGTCTCCTTCCCACTGGCCAATGCTGTCTGACAACAGCTTCCTCAAACATTCTCTACACAGCAGGCACAATGACCTAAATCTTTAAGGTTGAAGGGTGCTTCAAAACCATCTATTCCCAAACCCCTCAATTTACTGATGAGGAAGAAGTGACCTTCCCAGAACAATTACTGGAACCTAGAAGAAACACAGTTGAAGAAAGCAGTAAATTCAGACACGTTGTCTCTCTTCATTGTCTCTAGACCCATAGTTTTTCTGGACACTCACATCAACTCTACAAGCAGAAGTCTTGGGAAATCAAGTTCCTTTCTTTATTCCATCCTTTTAGAAATGTAGCTTAAAACAGACATTGCCAAATCACTTCCCATAAGCTGAGTGGTAGCCACTGGAAAAATTCAGTTCCTGATACTTCCATTTGAGATGCAAGAAATACTCTGGCACTTATTAGTTTGTTACCTTCAATTTCAAAAAGCCAAACATTCCTCCAGTATAAGCCTTCCAAAGTGTTACTTTCAGAAACTAGGATTGGAACTAACCAGGTAAGAGCAAGATGACCGAGACCGGCTGTTCTTGATGACTTTTTCACTGCTCTAGTTAAAAAAACAAAACAAAACAAAACAAAAACAAATGGTAAAAAACAAATAAACCTTATTCATACTTGTAGGATTAAGAATCACAGAAAAAAAATACCACAATACTTGAAACCATTACTAGTACAAAAAGAAAAGCAGGGCTGATGGAGTTTGGTACGCAAGGAATATTCGTTAAGCACGACTGTATGACGTACATGTATTCTATTAAGTGAAATGGCTTCCAGACTTTCTCACTAAATATAGTGAATGTGGATCCCAGACCAATTTTCGTGGGCAAAAAACTGTGTTCTTCTACTCAAATTCTGGAGATGGGCAAGGGAGGGAAAGGTGTAAACTGTCAACCCTTTTCCCAGGAAGTTCTGTATCTCTTTCAAGTGTAGTATTAAAACAAATCATAGTCATTTTAATTAATAAACTTTTAGTACAACCCTAACTTACTATTCTTTACAATTTATGTTCATGTTATATCAAGGTCTCTTCAAGGTCTCTTTGACAAGTCAGAATTACAATACAGAAATCTTCTCTTGACCTAATAACTTCAGGACTCACAGAAGAGTGGGGAAGCACATGATTTCCAAGTGTGAAAGGTGTTTTTCAGGCCAGACAGAACGACATTCTTCTATTACATAGGGAATTTGGTAGCCCATTTGAAATAACAGCAAAGGAGAATGCTTTCTCACACTTGATTCCCTTTCAACATACACGATGAGAAGTGAAAACTGGAGAGAACGGTAGGAAATGTTTTGGACATTCTCTAATTTATACAAAACATAAAAACCCATCAAGCAACCTTTTCTTACTGGTCTCAAAATACTAAGGGCTTAAAAACTAAATTTCGGATTGAAATGTCCTATTCTCTACCTGGATCAATATAATACAGTCTATCCCAATTACAACCACCTGCAACAGGTTGTCCAAATCGCTGTACCAGCCTTTGTTCACACAGACAGCTTATGGTATTTGGCTGATTTAATCTTTAAATCATCCTGCTGTAGTAGGACTTCTAAGTTCACGTCCCTCAAACCCCTACTCTGTAGGTAGAAAAAGCCAGCAGAGTGGAAAGAATTCAGGACACAGATTCCAGTCCTGCCCCCACTTCACTAGGAACCGACTGTGAGGTCCAGGCCCAGCCCTGAGCGCCTCTGAACGTTTTTTCCTCGTCTGCATCTGGAGTGGGCGATCTGCTCTCTTCCAGTTCTCAGTACGGTCCCACCGTGGGACCGCCTGCACTGGTCTTCTAACTTCGGGAAGGTGCTGCTGAGCACCCACTGCATGCCGCCGACCTGGGGCTTGCCATTCTACCATCAAGTTTTAATGAAAAAAAAAAAAAGAAAAAAAGAAAAAATCTCGTTTTCTACTTTGCTGGTTCCATTCAGCCTGTACCAACTCAACCAACTACTTAGTAGGAAGCCCATGACCCACTCCTCCTCCTCTGGCATCACTTCCTCTTACTCATGTCCCAAGATGGCTCTGCTCCCTTCCCATCCCACAACTCATCCCTGCTCCCGAAGTCTCATCTAGGAACTAGCCTCACAGGTCACCAGAGCCAGCCTCTGAGGCACGGGCTTCAACCCCATGTTTAGACCAACAGCGAGCGGGGCAAGCCCACGGGCTGGCATCAGGGGCCCCTCTCCCCCTTAGGGCAGCCCGTTCCCTGAGGCGCCGCGACTCCTCAGGCACCTCTGTCCTATCCCCTCTGGCTGTTTCGCCCCAGGTCGGAGGCCGGGGTTAGTGCTAAGTCTGTTTCTTGCCCAGGGGAGGACATCCAAGTTTCCTGACGAAAAGAACAGCAAGACACGAAGGAAAGAAAAACGGGGAAAGGGGCCCTCGGATGATGAGACAGGAGAAGGGCCTGGAGAGAAGGATGGGGTGAGAGAGCAGAGGAAGGATGGAGGAGGCAGGGTATAGGGAAGACACCCACTCCCACCGCCCGAGAGGCGGCCGGGACAACAGGTCAAGCCACACAAAGTTCGGTCCAACTTTGTGAGAAGTGGGGTCCACCACAGGAAGCCTTCCAATGGGTGGGTGAAATTCCTCCTCATCTCCATCCCTGTCCCCGCCCGAGGAGCCTGACTCCAAGGCAGCGCCCAGAGGGTCCCTAGGGAGCGGGCCCCTCCCCCTACGCCCCGGGCCCGCTCTGGGGACGCGCCCGCCC